TTATCCCGTTTTCCCCCCCTCACCGTATCCCTGTATCCCGTTATCCCGTTCCCCCCTCACCGTATCCCTGGCCGCGGTTGCGGTTCTGCCGGTTGCGCTTGTTGCGGTTGTTGCGCCGGTTGGCCCGTTTCTCGGAGGGCGGGAGCAGCTTCCGGGCCTCCTCCTTGTACCGGGACACCAAGGGCTGCGCCTCCTCCTTGCCCAGCTCCCCGTACACCACCTCATCCAGGTAATCGTTCTTTTCCGGCAGGGAATAATTCGCTGCAGCGGGAACGACGGGAACGGTTCCCTCCGTCAGCCCCGGCCTTTCACCCCCGTCCCCCAAAACCACGGCAGAACTCCAGGTTTTCCTCCCCCCCCCCCCTCGGTTTCGCCCGTTCCCACCTTTCATTATCCAGCATCACCGACTCGGGAACGTCCTCCCCTTCCGCCTCCTTCCGCAGCTCCAGCCGCTTTTTCCAGTCCTCCTCCGTCGGGACGATCACCACGACTTTCCTGGAGAAGCCCTTGAAGGCCAAGAGCTTCCGGCGCTGCCCCGAGTTGTACACGTTGCACTGGCAAGGGAGAACGGCGGGAATTCGGGATGGGGAGCGCCGGGAGGAGGCGATCCCGAGTTCCCGGAGGGGGAAGGATTTCCCGGGATACCTGGTCGAGGATGAAGTTCCGCTTGGAGCGGGGAGCGATCTGGACCAGCTTGCTAAGGCACTGGGCTGCCTGCTGAGTCAGCAGGTCTCTGCTCTTGGCATCCAGCTCTTCCACGTCCGGACCCCTCGTCTGGAAAACCGTCGGAAAAGCGGGAATGAGCGGGAGGAGCCTCGGCGCCCTCAAACCGCCCGAAAAAGCTCCTCCGAAACCTCCCTCAAAGTCCTCCCAAACTGCCCCCAGTTCCCACAAATCCCCCTTAACCTCCCTCAGGGACTCCCAGATTTCCAATTCCCTCCTCGAATTCCTCAAATCCCCTCTAAACTTCCCTCAAACTCCCCCAAATTCCCAATTCCCCCCTCAAATCCCCTCTAAACTTCCCTCAAACTCCCCCAAATTCCCAATTCCCACCTCAAAACTCTCCAAATTCCCTCTAAACTTCCCTCAAACTCCCCCAAATTCCCTCTGAACCTCCCCCAACCCCCCCCCAATCCCTGCTTCCCCTCCCATCGTGGGCGTTCCCGGAATTCCCGGTGCTCACCCGCAGCTGGTGCAGGACGGCCTCTGTTCCCAGGATGTTGTAGCGCTTCTCCCGGTTTTCCTGGGAATGTTTCTGAGCCCACTGGGTCTTCCCGGAGCCCGGCAGCCCCACCATGAGCAGCACCTGGATACAGGGGGGGAAAAGCGGGATGAGGTGGGAAGAGGGGAACGGTGACGGCATTCCCAGGGGATCCAGAGGATCCAGGGAGATGGAGCGGTGCTGAAATTCCACTCCTGGCAGATCCCAAAGGATGGGAGTGGTGCCAGTATTCCCAGTGGATCAGCACCGGGATTTCCAGGTCTGAGAGGAGGGAATGACTCTGGCATTCCAAGTGGCTCCAGACGGAGCAGAGCCAGCATTCCCAGTGGATCCAGAGCCAGCATTCCCAGCAACTCCAGAGGAAGCAGAGCCACCATTCCCAGGAGCTCCAGAGGGAGCAGAGCCACCATTCCCAGTGGCTCCAGGGAGAGCAGAGCCACCATTCCCAGTGGATCCAGAGCCATCATTCCCAGCTGCTCCAGAAGGAACAGAGTCAGGATTCCCAGGAGCTCCAGAGGAAGCAGAACCACCATTCCCAGTGGCTCCAGAGGGAGCAGAGCCACCATTCCCAGTGGATCCAGAG